TTTTTTTTTTTTTTTTTTTTATATCAATTGCCTCTGAAATTTCAGATGTTCAACTTTTCTGCCGTTCGCTAAAAAATGGACAAAATTCCCCATATTGCGTCACAATCTTGGAAAGTTAAATCGTACTATTACGTTAAATTCTACTATTACGAATCATCTTTCGAGTAATTAAACGGTAGAATTGATGAGAAACGAGTGAATTCAACGCATCGGTACTAATATCTAGGCTGGTTGGAACGGACCCGTTCTTCCTCCATGGGTATCGAGGGCCGCAGGAAAAAAAGAAGGATGAAAAAGGCGCGCGTACGAGCGCTCGTTTCCGTGAACGTACCGCTCCATAATATCGCTTTTCGGCGGTCATCGAACGAGCAAGCCGGTCGTCGCTCAACCTACCTACCCACCAGTCAGATCAATAGTAGGTCAATGGAATTCATTCGGTCGAACCACGTTCGCCACCGTACAGCTCCATCGAACCCACCCGATTCCTTTTTCAGATCTCTGGAATTCTCGACGTAACCTCGCGACGTTGAACGATAGTCGCACACGTTTCATCCTCGTTACTCGTAACAGCACAGGTTGTACAAGACAAACTGATGTTAGTTTTCAAGATAAATACTTGAAATACGAAAGATGTGATGGAAAGATTAGCTAACTTTCCTCGACGTTGATTGATCTCGCGTTGAAGCATGTGCCACTCGACAATCCCCTTCTTCGTAACAATAAGATTTGAAAGAAGAATTCGAGGAAGTGGAGTGCCAGTGAAACTGGCCTCTTTCAAAACTAGATTCTGCTAATTATGCTTAAGTCACTGGGTTGTATAATTATCCGTAATCTGCAAGATGTCTCTAATACGCTGTAAGAGATATATTACTGCGACATTTCCGGTTTCAAAGTCGGATTTTCCCAACCAGGAAGAAACGACACAGCAAAAAAGAAACATGAGAAAGATCGATCGTTGTAAACTGTATTTGTAACTATGTGATAATACGCTTATCGTTCGTCTCGAATGTAGGTCGTCCAAGTGACGTCGAAGTCACCGATTCCGATAATGGGAACACCTTCACCAAGAATCTGTTAGTGAAAATTATGGCGTGGAGCTGGCTGAGAATTCGCGACAGTGTGACGTCCCATGACGAAGTTGTTGACATTCGTTAATAAGAACTATAATTCAGAAGTTTGTAGATAACTCTGAGATTTAACAAGTAAAGTAATCAATCTTTTTTTAACAAGTAATATAATTAAAAAGATTTGTACCGTTGCAGAAATTTGTTATGAATTTAATCATAAAGAAGAAATGTCTTCACATTTGCGGCATTATTATGTAAATGACGAACGTGAACAAAATAACTGGTTGGAGAAAATCAGCGGTCATCTTAGATTTTTCTCCAGATCGCCATGTAATAATTACTTTCTTTTCCTAGCCGAATCAAATCTCGAGTTCTGTTGCCATCTTTCACGACAATTAACCTCAATACGAAAAGTTACGAGCGGATAATCTTAGTTAATATTCCACACAATGATCTTC